CGGCACTTGGTACACACTTAGTGCACTTACATACATGCAGGCCACGAACCAATGCACATAAAATAAGAATAAATCATTAAAAAAAAGAAGTGATTTGATAGCTGGGTGGTGGTGGAGAACAACAGCACTCAGGAGGCAGAGGCAGGTGGATCTCTATGAGTTCGAGACCAGCCTGGTCTACAAGAGCTAGTTCCAGGACAGCCTCCAAAGCCACAGAGAAATCCTTGTCTCGAAAAACAAACAAAAACAAAAAATTGATTTGAAAAATGTTGCAATAGTAAGTTCTGTCAGAATAATTTTAATATTATGACTTGTTTTTCTCCTCTTTCTTGTCACAAAGCTCTAATTAAGTTGTTGGCTAGAGTTGCGGTCATTTCAGGGCCCACCACAGTTTACAGTTAAAACTTTTTATTGTTGGCAGGATTGTCTATTGAAAGGGAAGCTCATTAGGGAGACCCAGAGTATATGTAAGGAAAGGGAGTTGTCAGGGTAGAGCAGGAGTTCTGGGGACTGGGGCTTAGCTGCACTTTTGACAACAACTTTCACATGTGTTAGCTATGAAATGTCACTCAAGAAAATGGACATAGACTGACCTTGTATTTTCACGTCAGAATTTGTTGGCAACTGCTGTTATGAGATCCTGTTGTATAAATTAGGCATTGGGATATTGAAACAGCTTGCAGAGAGAGAGAGACAGACAGTGCTGGAGATGGAATACAAGGCTCACACATACAAGTGCTCCAGCACTGCTACCTTTACTCTACCCAGCCTCTTATTCTGATTGCTGGACATTGAACCTAGGAGTTTGTGCATGTTAGGCAAGTACTCTACAACTGAACTACATATGCGCCCCCCCCCCATTTTCTTTTCCAGATAGTGTTTTACTGTGTAGCCCAGAATGACTTTAAACTCATTGTATAATCCAGGGTGGCTCAAACTAATGGTGAGCTTTCTGCCTCAGCTTCAAGAGTGCTGGGATTACAATGCAAACCACCATGCTTGGATTTATGTTACTTGAGACAGTCTATTTGTTTAGCCCAGATGACCTCAAACTTAGGCTCCTCCTATCTCTACCCCTTGATTATTGGGATTACAAGTGTGCTTTGCCATGTCCAGCTAGCCACATTCTTTTTGTGTGTGTGTTTTGTTTTGTTTTGTTTTGTTTTGAGGCAGAGTCTCTCTACATAGCTGGGGCTGTCCTGGGACTCACTATGTAGACCAGGCTGACTTTGAACTCACACAGATTGGCCTGCATCTGCTTCTGAGTGCTGGGATCAAAGAAAGGCCTGTACCACTAGGCCCAACGTTAGCTACCACATTCTAATCTAGACATTTTTTTTTTTTTTTAAATTCAGGCTGATTCTATAAGGTAACTTTTACTGGTGAAACGTTTGTTTCTGTTTTGAATATTAAGGAGTAACTTTTGGTTGATACACATAATAATCATGAGAATTCCAACAAATTAATTTTGAGTAGTGCATCCTGATCTCTAGAATTAAAAATACAATCTATTTGAAGGACTAGAGCTCAGTGGTAAAATACTTGCCTAATGTGTGAGGTCCTGGGTTCAAGTCCCATTGCCACACACACAGAAATAATCCATTTTAGTCAAGTTTGTGGAATAACAACAATAAAATATGCTTTCACTGCCAATATGCAAGTCACCCTTTTTGTTATATTAAAATATTTTGAATGTTCCTTAATTCTCTTATTTTAAAATGTATTCAATTATATTTTTAGTTCATAAGACTTAAGTCTAAATGGAGATAATATGTCCTTTAAATAAAAATTGGGTATTATTTGATTTGGAATGATTTATTCTAGATTATTCTATTAAGAAGAAATATGTAAATAATTGCTCCTATAATCCAAATGAATACATTTGCAAAGTCTTTGTGTTTTATACCACACAAAGTAACTTAGTTAAGGGAAAGCCCAGGTATCTAAAAGTGTGGGTGACCTTTAAAAATACAAACCAGAGCTGGATGTGATGACACTTGCCCATCCCTGTACTCTGGAGGCAAAAGCAAGTGGATCTAGGAGTTCCAGGCCAGCCTGGTTTACAGAGTGCCAGGCCAGCCATCTCAAAACAAACAAACAAACCAACAAAACCCTAGTCTTTATATTATAAATGAAAATGGAGCTCTGTTGTCTGTGCCAGTAACAAAATATATGAAGGTGGGTACTTGAAAAAGAAAAGTTTGCTGAGCTCACAGTTTGGTAGACTGTCCGTGTCCAGCTTCTGGGGAGGGAAGAGTTTCTGTGATGGACCAAGTGCAGACAGATCACATGGCAAGGCAGGGGAAAAACACAGCAGGCTCCGGCTTCCTGCTTTGATAACAGCCTGCCCTGTGAGCATCCTTTCTGAGGGGTTTGCCTCCAGCAACCTTACTCTCTTTCCCTATCCCATGATTATTAAAGGTTCTACAGTACTCACTATGACCACACTGAAGATAGACACTTGGGGAGACACTGAGGCTATACCCAAACTGGCAATGTAGTATATCTAATGGCTGAGGTACCCAATTTGAATGGATTAGTCATTTTAAAAAGAAATCATTATGATTATTGTACTCTAGACTTAGATTTGTAGAAAATGATACAATTTACCCAGAGAAATGTACCTGTTAAAATTAAATGTGAATCTAGCAAAAATCCTAGCAAAGTACTATCAGATTTTGATATTTGTGCCCTGTACTAAATATTTCATAACCATATTGAAATGTAAGATCTTCATATTCCAAATTTGCTTCTGTGGAGAAATGATTTGTGATTTTATTTTAGTCCTATTTAATTTTACAGATGAAATAGTTTTTTAGTTTATTTCTATGGAATGAAGAACAGTGAAACCACAAGAATCTAGAAGGTAGGCTGTTACAGGTGGCTCGTTGTTAGAACACTTGCCTAACATTCAAGCCCTGGGTAAGTCTTCAACATGGCATAAACTAGGAGTCTTGGCACATACCTATAATTCCAAAATTTTGGAGGTGAAGACAGGCATATCAGAAGTTCAAGCCTAACTTGGGCTATTTCAAAAAGGAATTTAGAAGAATTTGGAAGGCAGGGAATGAATATTCAATAGTACAATATTAAAAGTGCTGAGTGCATCTGTATGTAGTTCTGCTTGCTAGTGTTCAGGCATCTGCACTGGCCTGTCCTTGGGGTTCTGACAGGATGTGCCCTCAGCTGCAGCCACTAAGAGCACCTCCTGTTCACATTCACTATGTTCCCTTTTGAAGAGCGCTGCCCACCTCTCATCCCTCTTTCTTTCTCTCCATCTCTGTTCCCCCTCTCTCTCCCTGACTCTCCATCTCTCTCTGCCTTTCCTCTTTCCTGCTGCTTCTGTCCCTGGAAACTGTTCTCCCCCCTCTACTCTCCCCTTTTTACTATTCTTTTCCCCTAATAAACACTTCCACTTGAACCCTGTCACATGGCATCTTTCTCTCGCCAGCTGTTTTTTAAAACTACAACACTAGTAGTGTAGGGCTTGAGTTCATCACTGCTGTAGCAAGTACAGAATACGTGTGTGGAGTTAAAGGCAACAGGACACCCTTCCATACATTTGAGGATGAGATGAAATTCTGCCTGGGGTCTCTTTTCTTTGTGTTTGCAGACACAAGGCCTTTGTGTTTAAGGCCTTAGGTGTCACTTTTTCTCCATCTATCCCTTCCGTTCTCCCTCGCTGGAACTGAGGACTAACTCAGGGCAAACACTCTAGCACTGAGCTAAATCCCCAACACTAGTCTTTTTTCTTTTGAGGCAGGGACTCTCGCTGGCTTGGTACTTTCCAAGTAAACATGGATAGGTAGCCATCAGACCCCAAGAACCCACCTGTCTCTGCTTCCTTGCCACTAGGACTCCAAGTAACACCAAAACAAGCTTTTTAAAAGGTTGAAAGGATCTCACTATATCCCAGCTGTTTTGGAACTAGGTGTGTAAACCAGGCTGGTCTCAAAATCAGAGATCCACCTGACACTGCTTCCAACTGCTGGGATTGAAGGTGTGCACTAGTGTATAGCAACAATGAGCTTTTTACGTGGCTTATGCAGATTGAACTCAGATCCTTATATTTGTAAGGCAAGCATGTTAACTACTTAGCCATCTCCCCAGGTCTTTCTTCTTCCTTTTGATTAGAATGTTTCTTCAAATGACAGATATGTTGGTACAAGTATTTAAGAACCAAAAAACAAAACAACAACAAAAACAAAAAACCCAAAAGACAAAAGGAAAAGAAAAAATTGTTATTTTTCAATGATTAGAGTACTTTTATGCTTGCTAATAAATACCAAAATAATTTTAATCTGAAGTATAATGATTGCTATCCAACCATGACAGCTGTGTAAATTTTAAAGCAACCATGGTGGGGGCTGGAGAGATGACTCAGCAGTTAAGAGCTCCGACTGCTCTTCCAGAGGACCCAGGTTCAATTTTCAGTACCCACATGGCAGCTAACAACTGTCGATAACTCCAAGATCTGATACCCTCACACAGACATACTTGCAAAATACCAATGCACAGCACATAAAATTAAAAAAATAAATTATTAAAAAAAAGCAACCATGGTGGCCTGATAACCCTAAGAAATGACAGACTTTGATCAGCTGTTTATTGTTAGTATTACTAAATGATGGTGGTGGTTCAGTGAAATACAAGTTTCATAGCTGATTTTGTGTGTGTGTGTGTGTGTGTGTGTGTGTGTGTGTGTGTGTGTGTGTGCATATACAGCGGCCATTATAGTGGACATTTAAAAATGAAATCATTCAAATATCTGTATTTTCCTTGTATTTCTGATTTTGCCAAATAGCCAAATATCTTATTATCCATTTTTACTTCGGTGAGTACATGTTTAGTTCTGTGGTGCATTTACCTCTGTTTCTCCTGTAGCTCTACATGAGTTAGTAATCTCAAATAAAATTGAATAATCTTCTTATTCTGATAGAGAAGAAAAAACTGGATCACTTACCAGTAACTGGAGTTCTCCTATTGGGTAATCTCCACAGATCCACATTCTTTGAAGCTATTGCGAATGCCTCGAGGACCAAGGGACCGTTGCAATCCCATTTCAGGAAGGTAAGTGAGTGCCTGCAGCATGTCTCTAGCCTCCTAAGCCCACCCCAGCTTTCTTATGTATGCATCTGTGCTGCATGCCCTCAGTTCCCGTGGATGCGCTTCACGAGGATCCTCGAGATGGACAGAAGGAAGGGGTGGATCTGTGAGGGAAAAGACCCAATAGGATAGCTCAAGTTACTGGTAAGTAATCTGGTTTTCACAAACTTGAGATTTTTTTCTCTCAAATTTCTTCTCTTTAAGATATTAATTAGAAAGGAAGTTACTTTGAATAAGTTTTTCGTATATTATGAGATGAAAGCTATTATAGATAACATAACAAACTATTAATAGATATATGCATAAGTATGACAATGGTTCTAAAGTGTTATTTACATAACTTTTTAAAAGTATATGTTTTAAATAAGTAGTATAATCTGAAGTAATGCAGGAAAGCTACATAAGAATTCTTTTATGAATTCATGTACATTATTACTTTTAGTGACATACTTGAACTGTAAAGTTTGACACATACAAAATTTGGTCAGAATGTTTTGGCACAACATTTCTAAACAGTAAGAATATGTTTTGTTTGTTTGTTTAAGACAGATGCTCACTATAGATAGATAGATAGACAGACAGACAGACAGACATACTGACTAGACTGACTTTGAACTCATAGAGATATACTTCTCTGTGTCTCTCAGTGCTGAGATTAAAAGTTTGTGCCACCATGACTGGCATTTTAATCAACTAGCACTTATCTTAGCTTTGTATACACCAAGCATACTCTGAACCACTGAGTTATATCTCCAGTCTAACTAGCACTTTTGAGAAGGAAGTTTTTAATTTCTTTGTTTTCTGTTTTTCTTTCGAGACAGGGTTTCTCTGTGGCTTTGGAGGCTGTCCTGGAGCTAGCTCTTGTAGACCAGGCTGGTCTTGAACTCACAGAGATCCACCTGCCTCTGCCTCCCAAGTGCTGGGATTAAAGGCGTGTACCACCACTGCTCGGTTGGTGTTTAATTTCTTTGTTGTCGAAATTGACTCTTAGATAGAACAGGCTGGCTTCAAACTCTCTAGGTAGCTGAAGCTAGCCTTGAACTCCTAATCCTTCTGCTTCCACCTGTGGAGCATGAGGATTACAGAGGTGCACCACCATTCCTGGCTGACCAGCACGTATTAAATGACACAGTTTTCAATGGGCCTTTTTGTTTCATTCAAGATGCATCTGAAGCATGATCTTGGGAATTCTGCAGTTACCTCTCTGTGTCCTTGTCTGTAATTAAGACTCCTGCTGGTATGAAGCACTCTCTGATTCCATAAGTTAACGGTTAGAATTCTTTGTCTCTGCCTACACACACACACACACACACACACACACACACACACACACACAGAGAGAGAGAGAGAGAGAGAGAGAGAGAGAGAGAGAGACAGAGACAGGCTCCAACCCAAATCTGAGGCTTACTAGGGAAGTACTCTACTACTGAATTATGTCACCTACAATAACCCAAACCTGAGGCTTACTAGGGAAGTACTCTACTACTGAATTATGTCACCTACAATTACTTTCTTACTTTTGGTTTCTCTTTTGTTTTGCACTATTCTCTAGGGGCATTATTAGCACACAGAGCCCGAGTAATATACTTCTATAGCTGTTTTATAAATTTTCATTTATTTCTGGGTTTTTAAAGGTTTGTCCTAATTGCATTTCTTTGCCTTCATGTAGTCTTATTTTCTTCAATTTGAAACTTTGCTCATTGCTCTCACTTGGATAGTTAAGGTTTTGGCCACTATCCATTTTCTTGGGATGACTTGACCATTCTTTTTTCTGTACTTGAAAGCTGAAGCACTTCTACCCCTTACCAGTCTATTGGCTAGCATCTTCACGTTTGTGCTGTTGCATGTGAGTGGGTGTTCTATACAGTCAAGAAGGCATTCTCTAACGTCATTCCTCAATAGTTAATGTACACTGATTGACATTTAGAGACATAGTCTCTCTCTCACTGGTGTGGCACATTGATTAGGTTAGGGTGACCTAACATGCTCCAGGGAGCTTCCTATCTCTGTGTGACAAGTGTGAGACTGAGCTGTTCTGACTGGCTTTTTGTGTGGGTATCATGGGTTGAATTCAGGCCCTCATGCTTTCATGGCCAGCACTTTATCAATTGAGCTATCTCCCCAGTCCCCAGTCCTTGGTAGCATCTATTTCACTTGTGTTTTCTATGTGGCAGAATGGAAAATTTGGTGATATTTTCTTAATTTTTGGAATGTGTTTAGCAAAGGGCCAGGAGCACATAGTAGACACTCTAATAGCTAATGTTAGATTGAACTGATTTTTTTCTGTGGTTGCAGTTACTTGTATAACACTGTTTAGCCCTTAAATGTTAACTCTTTGCTGTTGATTATTATGCTGCTGTGTAACCTAGACTGGCCTTGAAACCACAGAATTCCTGCTTCAGCCTCTTAAATGCTGGGATTACTGCTGTGTGCAATACCCTTTTAGATCCTTAAAACTTTGTTTAATGCTTTCTGAGATCAAGGATAAGATTTTACCATTATCTCATGTGATTCCTACAATCAGTAACTAATACAAAATACCCACATAAGTATATGAATATATTTACCAGTTTTTTGTGTATGAAATATTCATTTATTGGCTGTATAAGTCCTATGTGAACTGTATTTTTCTCTGGAGAACATTTTTATTTTTAAAAACTGGTACATTGAAATCCTAGTCAGTGTAATATTAACTTCTATGGCACATTAAGAAAAGAGAATTTAAAAATGAATAAAAGAGAGAATTTGGCTGGGCAGTGGTGATGCATGCCTTTAATCCCAGTATTTGAGAGGCAGAGGCAGGTGAATCTCTGTGAGTTCAAGGCCAGCCTGGTCTACAGAGTGAGTGCCAGGATATCCAGGGCTACACAGACAAACGCTGTCTTCCAAAACCAAAACATGAGAGGGAGGGAGGGAGGATAAATGGATGGATGTGGCTTCCTTTTGTGGCATCATTGAATGGTAGCAGGCCATGATTCTGCGCTACTTCATGACCCTGGGTCTTAACAAAGACTACAACAGCGTTGAAGAACACTAGCAAGTTGAGGCCAGATGTCATGGTGGACACCTTATCAAACAGACTAAATTCCTGTGGGACATGTTTCTGGAGTATGTGAAGCCCCTAATGAGGTGCTCAAGGATAAGTGAGCACACAAGTCAGGTGCTGAGGAACTACTGGAAGCCAAGAAGAAAACTATTGCCAAGAAGGACCCTTCACACTTTGTCCCCTCCCTCAAAACAGTTATGCTGCAAAAAAAGAGAAGGGTAGAGAAAGGGGGCCAGACATGGAGGTACACCTTTAACCCCAGCACTGTGGAGAAAGAGGCAGGCAGATCTCTGAGTTTTAGGCCTGGTCTACATGGCAATTTCCAGTCTAGCTAGGGCTACACAGTGAGATCCTGTCTCAAAATATGAAAAACAGGATGTGTAATTTTGAGAATATTTATTATAATACTTACAAGACTGTTGTATAGTCTTTATGAACTAAGTTACAGAAGCAGTATACTTCATTTCTGAGGAAGGAGTATTGCTTGATTTGTTGAAATGCTTACTTTTAAGAATACCAGTTCAGTTAAGGAGAAAATGAATTTTAAGGACATTAAAGCATGTTCTTTGGCAGATTTGAGTGTCTCCTTTAAATGGTCACAAGAGAACTGCTTCAGATCCATTCATTCGATGAGACAAGATTGCTGTAACATTTCTGTCTAAAATCCTATTGCATCTCAGCATGGCATGGTAATAGCATAGTGGTTATACCAACAGTGCCTTTATTCTTGGAAGACATGTCAAAATACTTGAATGTGAGGCATCCTGAGTTCAGAAATAGTTTCACTAAAAAGCAGATATTTGAGTAGGCTAAATGGGAGGACCAGGGAGGGGCAGGAAAAGCAGAGAGAGAAGAGGTGTTAATTTGATTCCCGATTGTTTGGCATTAAAATTAAAAAAGAAACTTGAGAAGAAAACATTTTAATAAGAATCTTACTGTGCTTTAACTTCCCTTATCTTAAAATGGGGACAATAGAACCTCTTCTCTGCATGCCTTGATGCAAGCACACACAGTGGGGCAACATTTGGCAGAAGAGTCAGGGAGCCACTTAACAAGCAGTACTTTGGTTGCTGTTAAAGAAGAGCATTATAATGGAGGGAGACCATGTCAAAGAATGTGTTTACATAAAGCTTATTAAATTACATCAGCTCACTTTAACATTTCAGCATATATTATTTAAGAAACAGTCATACAATTAACATGTAAAGAATTGGAATCTTGAGAATTATGACAAGAGTATAAAATACCTACATAAATAAGTTAGACCCAAATGAAGAGATAAGTTACATTTTAACTCTCCAGAACAGCATGGGAGATACAAGTCAAATATGCCAAGGGGAAAGCTAAGGTATTGTGGAGGGAAGAGACACTCCAACTCTTACCTCAGTGGAATGGCAATATTGAGAAAAATTACTGAAAATTTCAAGAATTAAAAACAATAGTGTGGGAAACTGAGTCAGGATGAAAGTGTCAGTCTCAAGATTTTCAGACCAGCCTCAGCAACATGTAGTGAGACTTTATCTCAGTTAAAAAATGTGGAAATTATAAAATACTTGTGAAATGATATGCCAGATCCATATCAGAACTTGAAGACTGCAAGAAAAATAGTATTTGGGGTTAAGTTTATACCTGTAAATACATGAATTAAAATATTGAAAGTAAATGAGATAGGTACTCAAAAAAAGATGAACTTATACAATAAAAAGAAAGGAAAGAAAGCAATAGGAAAGTAGTTTGATGAAGCAGAAAATTATCAGCAAGAATAAAAACAGCATCATGGTCCATCAGATTCTGGAAATAGTCAAAAAAATAGATAAGACACTAGTAGTAAGGTTTAAAAAGAATATCACTACACGTTTAATGGGCTTTATGTATAAGAAATTGCTACTAAATTACATATACATATATGCATTTTATTTAATCTTATCTATTTAAATTTTTGTTTTTCACCATGTGAACCAGGCTGGTCTTGAACTCACAGAACTCTGCCTGCTGCACTTCTGGCTTTTTAATTTTATATGTATGGGTGTTTCATCTGCTTGTATATTTGTGCAACATGTGTTGGCACTGCATTTGTAGGCCACAGAACTGGTCACAA